CTTAGGACTCTAGGTTGCGCGGTGAGTTGTGTGTTGCTTTCTGTTCCTTTGCTTGTTTGCTTTCTTTTCGTAATCGTGTTGTTGTTGTAGAAGTTGCGATGCCTCCTCGCGCGCGCACGTCGGAGACCCCGACCAATGAGCAGCTCGCTCAGAACCTTCATCAGCTGACTCAGACCACGCAGACGCTCAGTGAAGCTCTGTTGAACAACAATCACGCTGTGCCGCCTCCTCCGCCTGCTGGGCACCGTGATGTAGGTCGTTTAGTGTCGGGACATCGGCCACCAACCTTCGCTGGCGAGGAAGACCCAGTAGTCTTAGAAGAGTGGCTACGGGTGTTTGACAAGAAGAGTGGAGTTGGCAACGTTTTACTTTTGCCAAGAAGCGGACTTGTGGTGGGTCCATGAAGGTCCGGCTCTCCTTGAAGAACCAGAGTTCGACTGGAGCGCGCTCAAGGACAGAATGCGCGAGAGGTTCTACCCGGCACATGTGTGCGCACCATGTATGAAGAGTTTCTCCACCTGCAGCAAGGATCCATGTCTGTGGTTAAATACCACAAGAGGTTCTTGGAGCTAGCACGTTTTGCGAGGATGCTTGTGCCTTCAGAATTCTCTAAAGTCGAGAAATTCGTGGCCGGTCTGAACTATGAGGCGCGAAAAGCTTTGACTGTGAGTAGGCAAAGTTCTCTTAAGGACGCTTACGTGTGTGCCGCTGATCTGTATCGCGTACAGCAGCTTCAGAAAGGATCGTACGAGCAAGCTAGAAAAAGGACTGAGGGCGGAGGATCTTCTACCTTTAAGAAGCCAGGACCGAGTTTCCAGGACAAGTATGTGTCATCTTCGTCTCAAGGACCAAAAAGGATTGAGCCAGGGGATCAAGCTAAGTTGTTTCCGTGCCGAAGGTGTGGTAAGGTGCACGCAGGCCAAGATTGTCATGGCCAGGCGTTTAGGTGTTTCCGATGCGGAGATCGAGGTCACAAGATCGCGTAGTGTCCCCAGCTTGTCGGTCAGAGAGCGTTGCCGCCACCCCCGGGAGCCGGAGGAGCGTCGGGAGTTAGTTCGGGTCGCGGAGCAGTTGGAGCTAGGCCACCTGGGAGGGTTTTCGTGATGGCGCGTTCACAGGCGGAGTTGGAGGGTTTGGTGGAAGAGGAGTCGGCAGGTAACCCTTTCTTCTAGCCTATCCTTGTTTTTGCGATCATCGTGTTTTTTGTTGCCTTGAGTGTTATCTCGTGTTTCGTAGTTGTCTTTTGCTTGGCAATCCTTGGCATGCTTTCCTTGATAGTAATTCTGTTGGAGCTTAGTATAAATTCTTCTTGCTTAGTGACTCCTTTAGTTGGCACCTAAGTCTTGTTGTGAAGTAGTCATCTAGCTTTGGAATGATTTGTGTTTGGGCCAATTCTATAATCCCCACACTTGGTTGTTCTTACAACAATTCCTTGTGAGCTTCCTAAATTTTCCAAGTATTCTTTGAATTTGGAAATAGCAAAATTCTTGCCAAAATTCCTTCTTGTGTATCTTAAAAAGATAGCCTAATGTTTAATTGTAACCTTTGAGTTTCAAACCCGAGCCGATTCTTTGTCAACGCAACTTCTAAACCACTTGAGCTAATTGTCTTTCTTAAAATCTAACCAATTTTAATTCCATCTAAACCATAAATTCCCACTTTACCCAAAATCCCCAAATTAAATCATTTTTTTCCCAAATTTCTCCCAAATCCCTAAAATCCCAAATTCTCTCTTCTTCTTCTTTTCTCCTTCCTACCCGTGAGAACCATTAAACCCCATCCCCAACCCGTAGCACCACCACCAACCCGTCGCCCCACCACCGCCGAACCACCGCCACACCGCCGTCGTTGTTCGCCGGAGCCGCCGCCGCCGACCTGCTGTGTACCGCGTCGCCGAGAGTAGCCGCGAGAGAGAGAGAGCTCGAGAGAGAGAGGGAGAGGCAGCGTGAGTGAGAGGAAGAAGTTGTGGGCACCTTTTGTTGAGCTTTGGGTCATCTCCTACCAAGCCTAGAAGGTCAAGCTTGGCAAGAAAAGCGGAATGGGTGGATACCCACTACCTTGTCCTTGAAGGTAAAGCTTTTGATCCGGAATCTTTTTCTAGTTCCTTGTTGGATATGCTTAGGTATCAAGGTTTGTTGGATGGGTTTCTCTCCATAAGGGTCGAGACTTACCCGAGTTTGGTGAAAGAGTTTTACCGTCACATGGTTGTGACGAAGGAGGGTGGAAGGCTTGAGATCACCTCTAAGGTGAGAGGTGTAAAGGTTGTGTTTTCTGAGAAGAGGTTGGCACAACTGTTGAGTTTGTCTGCTACTGGAGTGGCTCAGTACAGTGGTCATTCTTGGATTAGTATGGATACCATGGGGTACAATGACTACTTGAGCTACTTCTTAGGCCGTACGAGTGGTTTCACTCAAGCCTCTAGGCCGGAGAAAAAGTGGTTGTCTGCGGAGCAAAGGATCTTGGTGATGTTGGTGTCGGACTGTTTGTTGCCGAACAATAACAAGAGCAAGTTGTTGGGTAAGCTGGAGTGCTCTTTTGCTTTTTGTCTGAAGAATATGGTTAAGTTCAACTTGCCTGCTTTGATGTTGCAACACATGGTGTTTTGCCGGGATCACAATCGGAAGAGTTTGCCTTACGGGAAGGTGTTGAGCTGGATCTTGGTTAGGAAGGGCGTCAGTGTGGATGGTTGTCTTCCTAAGGCTGTGGGAAAGCTAGTGTTGGATACCACCAACCTTCGGAGTTGTAACCTGTTTCAGTTGGATGATGGTGAGTACATCACGCTTGAAGAAGTGGCAAGGAAAGCCCCTGATGAACGGGTCGAGTTGGCATCTGAGCTTGGAATCCATGCCGGGAAGTTGAGCCTCGCTGTTCAAAGTTTGGGAGGTGATGAGGAAGCCGAAGATGAAGCCGACCTTGAGGATGTGGTGGGAGTGCCAGAAGCCGTTGAAGCTGAAGAAAGCGACTCGGAGAGCGAAGAGAACCGACGAAGAAGAGAAGCTCGCACCAAGAGGGAGCAAAACCCCACGTCGCATGAAGAGCGTGTTGTTGCTTTGCTTCGTCAGCAAAACCGCATGATCGAGGAGGGCTTTGCCTACATGAAGACGCAGTTCGTCGCTGTGCACAACCGGCTAGACAAGATCGAAGCCAGCTCGAGTCGTAGAGGAGGAGACGAGGAAGAGTCCGAGGAGTCGGAGAACGTGTAACACCCCCGAATTTCAACAATTTTTAAAACTTAATTTATAGGGATAAACCTTCTAAACATCAACATAAGAACAACGGAAGCTAACTACATAAATCCGGGAGATGTTATGCCACACCTATATCAAACATAGGTGCTATGGCAGCTACTACAACCACATCAGAGTAACAAATCAACTACTTAGGCTCACAGGCCTCAACAACTATTAAGGAAGAGATAACACTATCTACAGGCCACTAGAGCGCTCTCCAAAGCTACCCAACCTGTAAAGCAACAGATAGAAATGGGACGACGCCTGGTCAGCGAGTAATGCTGGTAACCCACCAATACCTGTTAAGTATCATACATAGATAGGGTATATATACAAAAATCATTTCGAAATGGAATACGTATATATATGTGTAAAACCAAGAGTAAACACCAACTCAAGACTCATCACTCATTAATAAACACCACGAGAACACATCCCAAGACTACAACGGATAACGACACCACAAGAATAAAGACACGACAACCGGCAACACTTGCCTAGGCAACACATGCCTTTGTGACTACACACGTCACAAGAGAGAACACACAACCACGGCTACACAAGCCCTCGTGACATCGCCCGCCACGAGTTGATATGCCTTCCTTATGCCCTGTTCCAACCTTATGGCTACCCCCAACCTTATATCTAGTTCCAACCTTTACCTCCAGGACTCCTGTACATACAGTCCAACCTTATTCCCCCAGGAATCGTCATTCCCCCTCCAACAGACCTCCAACAAGACCACCAATTCATAGTTCCCGCAGTACTATCACGCACATGGCACACATGCCTGGATAACACTAGTTATCCCCCAAAAACGTGAACCTTACACAAAGGCCACAGCTCCATAATCACGCCATGGCCACCACGAGGACCGCTGCAATACCTTGGTGACTAGTGTCCCATACCACTAATCGTGCAATCCAGGTAAAGCCACACACGCACCACAACTAAACAAGAGTCAAACAACGGATCACAACGAATGTATGAAACATACTCAATCAAGGAATGGGTCACAGCCCAACAACATCAACGATGAATAAAACAAGTTATCATCAACCAAACGGAAGGTACAAACCACACACACGCTAGCATTAAGACGACAAACTAGCATGCTCATCAACGGGGAAACTCAAGGTAGTTCCGAGGAACACACAAGACACCTCTCGGTCCAACGAAACACAATGTTGAACACTTAGCATGATTCAAGACACCAAAGTCCTACATGGATTCCTACCATATAGTTCTAAACAAACAAAACATCAAGAAGACACTCAAAAAGTTCCATAAAAGAACATCGGGAAGTCAAAAGACCAAATACCGAGTCAAATGGATCACGGGGAACAAATCCCATTCCAACTCCACTGTGTTCCCCGTGGGTGGACCCATGGGTAGGCTCCCACCCGTGGTTCCGCCCGCGGGTACACTACCTACGAGGCTACATGTTCCCCGCGGGTGGACGGTAGGTGGAGCTCGACCCGTCGTTCCGCCCGCGGGTACATATACCTGTGCAAAATAATCCCTTCGGGGATTTTTATCTCCAAACTCCAATTCAAGTCCAAAACATGCCAAATCTCACCTAATACAACAAAATGACTTGAATCATGGAAAATGCCAAGCAATGGCACAAAGGAACCCTAAACACAAACTCTAGATATGCAATATCACAAGACAAATGCATAAACCCTCACATTTCATAGCAAAGCAGAAGTAGAATCCAAGAAATCACATATAGGTAAGCAAAATAGGTTTTAGTAGAGCATGGGTTACCTCATTCGCTTAACATCCAAAAACAACGCCAACTTAGGCCAGGCTCAACTCATAAGCGAAACGGGAACCTATGAATCAAACCGATCCTTCAACTATTAACACAAGCACTAAACAAAACCAATTATACTCATAAGGGGATTTAAACACTAATTCAACCCTAAATACCCACAAGTCTAACCAACCAAGCTAGGCATCCAATTGATAATTAATCACAACACTAATAAGAAAACTAATAACTAGACTTCTAGGGTAGGACTTATAATCAAAACTTAACAACCTAACTAATTAAGCCGAGCAAGGATTCAAACCCTAGCCACCCATAAGCATAAACACTACCCTTAACACCAGGCTAATTACCCACTTAGAGACTTAACCAACACAAAACCAATTAAAACACTAAGCAACAACAAGAACCAAAGCTAAAGCTGCTCACCATCTTCATCTTCTACGTCTTCTTCATGCGACGTTCCCACGGGTAGAACACGGTGGGAGCCCCTACCCACGCCACTGCCCGCGGACTCCTCTGCCTCACCGGAGCTCATCGCCGACGACGAGAAAAGAGAGAAGCCACCTCCACGTAGCTTCGCCGATACCGCCGTCGTCATGCACCTCCATCGCCATGAGTTGCCGGGAACTTCTACGGACTGCCCAAGCCACTACTCGAGCCTACTCTACCTCACGAAGACACAAACCAAGCCGAAAGCCCTTCCCGGACTGTCACCACCGCAAGCTTGGACTGCCGGAACCCGCCATCCATCTTCACCACCACGTTCCAACCTTGCTGCTCCGGCCGAGAAGAGGAAACGAGAGAAAAGGTAGGGATTCTTGGCTGGTTTGATGGAGAACAAGGGAAGGAAGCTAGAAATGTTGTTGGTTCGGTTGTCTCACGCATGGCCGAGAAGAAGAAGAAAGGGAGCAGAGGGTTTAGCTTGTCTCGCCAAGGCGGGGAAGAGGGGGATGTTTGGCTGCTACACACAAAATAATACTACTAAAAGATAGGGTTTCCAAAATTGGATCAAGGCTATACATAGTAGGTTGGGCTTAGTCTAGACTTGCGTCAAAACTTGGGTTGGGTAATACTTTTGGGTCAAGAACTATACATATTTATATTTTGGGTATACAAAAATAGTAACACATATACTCATGACTTAGCTAATTGGGTTCAAGGCTCACATAGTAAATAATTATATTTTTTGGGCTTAGGATACCAAATAAACTCTTAGGCTATAAATCATTTTTGGACTTAGAACATTTAGACACAAAAAGATTGGTTCACCATACTTCATAGACCCGAGCCCATTTCAAAATAATAGCTATATAAATATTTTTATTAAAAATATTTATTATCGGGACTATAATTTATTTTTAGGAAAATACCGGGTGTCACAGAGCGAGTCCTTCTAGTGTGCAGCTGTGGCTACCTTGTTCGCCTTCTTCCTAGTAGTTGCTTTTCTTTGGCCGTTGTTGCTGTTATTTGGTCGTTTGTTGTTTGCTTTGCGTGCTTGTTTTGCTTGTAGCCTTGTGGCTTAGTTAGCTTCATTGTAGTAGTGGGTGTTTTGTGTTGGTTGCTTTGTCCTTAGTGTTTGGGTAGAAGTAGATGTTGGTGTTAAGACTAGAGTTTGTGATGCTCAATCTATTTCTTGTTAAGTTCTTGCCAATTCTAGATTTGTTACGCTTTCCTTTTTGTTAAGAATCCTTGTAGAACCTTTTGAGCTTTGACCAAATGAGCTTATTCTTGAACCTCTTGTCACAATGTTGTTTCCGATCACCGTTTGTTTCTAATTCGTCGTACCCAAGCTTCGGGGACGAAGCTTCTTCGAAGGGGGAGAGGATGTGACACCCCAAAAATCCACAATAAATCCATGGATTAATTGAGTTATTAATCCTATTTCATTTGAGGAATTAATTCCTAAAATCCTGATTTTTAATACTCAATGACTAGTATTTGACTAGTCAACTTCAAAGTTATGTTGTACCTCGAGCTTTGAGGAGAGTTCCCTTGTTCCTTACACTTTCTAAATGTTAGTAAGGGTATTCTTGACTTTTCACCAAGAGTTAGTATTGTAACCTAACCTAGAAGACTTCTTCATTTCATTCCTTACACTTCCTAGAATATTAGCCCTACCTTCTCTCTAGAAAGGTGAGTAGCTTTTCCTCCAAGCTAAGTTGAGACCTTGTCAAGATTCCAAGATTTGCATCCAAGATTCAACCTTTCACCTATTTGGGCATCTAGGAGGGCAAGATCTAAGTCCATCTTGTGTTTTTGGTTCCATCTTAGATGTCTTTTTCTTAAAGGTAGGATCTTTATGATCTTTTGGTTTGATCTTGAAGTGGGTTTGGAAAGTAAGCCTTGTGGGGAGCTTGTTGAGGTGTAAAGTGAAGTCTTTTGGTCTACAAGAGGTAACCCATGCTCTACAAAACCTATTTTGCTTACCTATATGTGATTTCTTGGATTTTATGTAACATCCCGTGTTACGCCCCCTAAAACCAATTAATCATTTAACCAATTATCCAAAGAAAGAATTAAATTACAATAATTAATTAGGAAAAGGCCCACCATAGTCCATGGGCCTCACCTCTAAAAACCCAACCCCTAGTCCTAAAAAGAATAGAGTTAGCAAGCCTATAGTATTTGGGCCCTAATTAGGACTCTTAGACATATAAATAGGGGATATAGGAAGCACCTAGAACCCCCACCGCAATAATCTCTCACCACACAAGGAATTCCAAGAATTCCCCTAGGAGAAATCAAGAAAGAAGAAAGGCTTAGAGAAAGACCCTTCATAGCCAAGGAAATCAATTAAGGCTAAGAGGTAACCCATGTCTCAACAAAACCTATATTCCTAGCTATGATCTCCCTCTTAGGCATCCCCCTATATTCTTGTGTCTTGATGAATTGTTATGATATGGATGATGTAATCTTGATAATTGGTGATATGGTTTTATCTTGATATTCTTGATGATGATAAGTGGTTCTTGATGATTGTGTGATGTTTTTGATGAATCTTGATATTTCTTGATATTAAAAGATGGGTTACGTTCTTGATGATTTAATTGTGATTAGAGCCCTAGGATGTAACGTGAAATTCGTATGATGTTATTCTTAATGCATTGGGTGGGAATTCGCATGTTTGGGGTGTTAATTATGTTTAGAAAGTATGATAGGATATGTGCCGTATGTTTCTCGCTTTTGATCCGTTAATTGTCTACGCGTTGCCATCAATTGCGTTTTAAAGTGTCTAAGCATGGTTTCGGGTTCCACAAAGGTTCCCGGGGCGTTATTGGTGAAAAAGAGTCAGTGGGGGGTAGGGGACCCGCCACCTACCCGCGGCCAGGATAGACGTCGCCGGCAGCGGGCAGGCGACTGCCCGCCAGGCACCCGCTGCCCGGAAGTTTGCCACCGGCGGGCAGCCGGCGGGTGACCCCTCACCCACCGGCTACCCGCTGGAAATTGTCCCACTTCGGGATCCCGGCTTCCCCGTTTGATGTCCCCCGACCCTCGTGGTGTCCCAACGGACTCCGTCTATCGTGCCTATGTCTAGTTTGATGTACGGGTACCATTCGTAGGTTGAATGAGTCTTGGATATTGCATGCTAGTTGAATTGATATCCCGTTGGCCTAGGTGTAAGAAGTATGAACCCCTTAGGATTATTCTTAGTATGTGGATGATCACGCATAGGTTTCGTTACACGATTTCTCCACCTTCCCAATGTGTCAATGTGGGTTGCATCTGTTTGTTATGTGTTATATGTGCATGATACCCCAATTTGGTTGCGATCAAATTGGTTATTCCTGAGCTGCGGTTCAGAAGCTAGCTGCGGTCAGATTTACACTCTCGGGCTGCGGTCCACCGTTTGGTTGCGATCAAACGTTTTACATGAGCTGCGGTTCATATTCCTGGCTGCGGTCAGATGACTACTCTTGGGCTGCGGTCCACTGTTTGGTTGCGATCAAACATTATGATGAGCTGCGGTTCATCGGTCGGTTGCGATCGACCCCTCCGTGTTGCGATACGGGGCAGGGTGCTGCGGGGCCGTGTCAGAGCTATATGCGCTGACCCTCATGTATGGGCATGCGATTGGTCCTGTGGTGCCATCAAAGTGTGTTATGTGATGAGATATGGATGGTTTGAGGTTATGAGTATTATGAAAGCGTGACCATAGGATACATGCTAGTAAACTGTATATGCCTTGTTATGACTATTGACTGTGCTTATTTCTATCTGTCGAGTCTGTTCCCTACGCCTGCGAATTGTATATGCTTGATTATGACTGTTGGCTGTGCTTATCCCTATCTGGCGAGTCTATTCCCCGTTTTGAAAGCTAGAGTCTCTTAGGATATATCTTCATGCTTCGAAATGGCTTTTCGTATATCTATGTATATATCTATATGTATTGTATTTCAACGCGTTGGAGTGGGTTACCAGCATCTCTCGCTGAATAGATATATTTGGCTTTCAGGCACAGAGGAGTAGGCACTGGAGCGCGCTAGAGCCTTGGAGCATAGAAGTAGATAGTTTCCCTTTCGGCCTGCGTGCCATACTTATGCATTTACATTTTTGAGGATATTAGTTAGTTAGCCTATGCACACGAGTTCTCTAGCTCAGGTGTGACATAGCACCCCGTACTCTTTATATTATGTTTTGGGATCTAACGAGAATTTACCTTTATTATATAAGCTTCAAAAGTTTAAAAATTTCGGGGTGTTACATTCTACATGTGTTTTGCTATGAAATGTGAGTGTTTATGCATTTGTCTTGTGAAAATGCATATCTAGAGCTTCTGTTTAGGGTTTTTTTGTGCCATTGCTTGGCATTTCCTATGATTCAAGTCATTTTGTTGTATTGGGTGAGATTTGGCATGTTTTGGACTTGAATTTGAGCTTGGAGTTGAAAATCCCCGAAGGGATTATTTTTGAAACAACGGCGTACCCGCGGGCGGAACGATGGGGAGGGTCCTACCCACCGCCCCACCCGCGGGAACAAGGTTTGTGGGTGTTGGTACCCGCGGGCCGGACCACGGGTAGGGGCCTAGCCGTGTGTCCACCCGCAGGGTACATGTTGGTGTTTGTTTGGGATTTGTTCCCCTTGATTCTTTTGACTCGGTATTTGGTCTTTTGACTTCCCGATGTTCCTTTGTGGAACTATTTGAGTGTCTCCTTGATGTTTCGTATGTCTAGAACTATATGGTAGGAAGCCATGTAGGTATTTGGTGTCTTGAATCGTGCTAAGTGTTCAACATTGTGTTTCGTTGGACAGTGAGGTGTCTTGTGTGTTCCTCGGAACTATCTTTGGTTTCCCCGTTGATAAGCATGCCAGTTCGGTGTATAAATGCTAGCGTCTGTGTTGTTTGTACCTTCCGATTGGTTGATGATAACTTGTGTTATTCATCGTTGTTGTTGTTGGGCTGTGAGTGTGTTTCATACCTTCGTTGCAATCCGTTGGTTGATTCCTGTTGAGGTGTGGTGT